CTGACACTTAGGAATGCAGTCCAGATGTCCAACTGGCACTCCCTAGACAGATAGGCACCAATGGAAGACCATTGATCATGATAGCCAGGCTTAGCTAAGTTCACCCCCCTTTGGGAGGTTGTTTCTTATCAAAATAAAACATCTTAAATCAGCCTGCATGAATAGTTTCTCTGTGGATGCACCACAGAGATGAACAGAGAGATGAGGTCTAATTTGGGAAAGCTCAGAAACACTTAATTCTTTCTTATTAATAAGCCTCGCCGCTACACAGGCCTTCTGGACCAGAACAATGGGCTGAGGGGCTGAGAAATCCCATAGAGGTATTGAATCAAATCTTGGTCGCTATGAACCACATTTCCAGAACGTCTGATCGGAAGATATACAGTACAGGGCTTTTTTCCCTAAATTAAGCCATATTTTAATCTTTGAACCCTGTTTCGTTGATATACAAGATGCATTTTAAGTGCAACATAATCTCTTGAGATTTGAACTGTAAGGAATGCCGAAAACAAAAAGTGCTTTTTTACACCAAATAATAAACCTTAAACATATAAATACATATTTCAATATATTTTGAGACATTGCAACTTTGCCAATTACATTCAGTGTTATTACTGCCACCACCATTGTAACTGCTAGTAATAAAAAGTTATAAAATGGAAGTAGAAAACATGATGAACAGAAGAAGAATGGGAGAAGGACAAATCAAAGAGATGTTAATAAATATTGGAATGATTAAATAGCATGGTTTTTATAGTCATAAAACATGGCAAATATCTAACAGAATGTTAAGAAATGTGGTAAAACACTAAAATATCACCGAACATTTTACTGTAAGAGAGCAAAAGAGAATTATCAATCTACCACTAAAAAAGAATAAATCAAGGTGAGGAGAATAAATATCAAGGCAAAAAAGTTTTGAAAATTACTTTTGTCACTCGGGCAAGTATACTTTTGATTCACTATTTTCCTGATGTAATACAGTATGTACATCCAAACATTTTACTTATTTTTTATGACATTCTTAAAAAAACATGTAATATTTATGTACTATGGCTGCTCTCCACACTTGTGCTCACCTCTTCAGTGAGATCTTTTATTCTTGTCTTTTATATCTTGTTCTATTTTATTCTTTTAACTCCTGTAACCAAACCACAAATACATGACCTAGATAACATGAAATCAAACATTAAAGCAGTCATGCACCATTGCAAATATAAGGTTTAAATAAAAATATTTTACATAGGAATAAATGCAACTTCTTTTGCTTTTAACATGACATTGTTCTGTATATACAGTATGTTTAACATACAGTAACATTCTATTATTTAAATATACAATTGAAAGAAAATAATTAAGAGAAAGAGAGTGATTTTGAAAGTTATTATAAACTTGCAGGAGTAGCTTTTTTTACAAATTGCACCATGAAGCACCACTTTCCAGAAGCATTTAAATTGAGTTTTGTTTTTCACTATGTTCTGAACTAAGTAGTGAGTTTTGAAATTGTGGAGCAGTAATAAAGCATGTGGTTGATAGCTATGAGAAAATAAAACAGGTATTAACACTCTACTTGAATGGCTACTAAATAACAGAGGCAAGTTTCAAATTGAGGACATGGCATTGATGTTCTTTGGCATTGTTTGTTTACCAGATAATGACAATTAGCTAACACTTCCAAAATTATCCAAGCTATTTTGTGCTTACATAAACTGTTAATGACATCCATCTCATTGCCAGAAACCTGCTTAATTCCTGGTTAGGGTTGCAACAACCTGGATCTCTGAAGGCTGGACTACACCGTGGATAGGCCCCGGCTCCATTGCAAGGCAGATAAACACAATATAGAGAAACAAATTAACCTTAATACATTAATTAAATGTATTTGCTAGATGGGAGAAAATCAAACCATGGAGCAAAACTCCATATGTGGGACTGAATCCAGGACACAAGAGCTGCAAAGCTAACTACCACCTGTTAATGACATGTTCTCTAAAATTATACGGCAGTTGCTATAATAATATCATATATAATAAAATAAAACTATATATAGTTTAAAGCAACTACTGTATATTTAGTAAATATAGTTGTTTTAAATAACAAGTGATGCAAAATTATTTTCATACAATAAATTAATAAAGATATTATATGGAAATACTGTACTGTGTATTAACTTACATACTGTACTATATGTTCGAAAGGTGATGTCAGAGAAGTTTCAGAAGCTTGGCCCTCCAATGCTACATATACAGTAGGTTTTTCAGTGTACAACACAGAACCCTATTCTTGAAACTGAGGGAAATTGAATGATAAGAGTGTCATACCTTCATTTCACATTGTCTTCAAAAATCAGAAATCATTTCTCTGTCTTCTCTGTTCCTAGTAGAGTCCTCTGTGAAACATTCTGGTATTTGAGTTGAACACATAAAAGTTCATGCTCAACTGTAGTATGGCTTCTTATTTTCTAACCAAGTAACATCCTGCGGCATTTTTCTCAGCACATTAGTCATTTTTTTTGCTTTCTTGTCACTGTGAACTCATTTTTACTGCCGCAAAAGGTTAGTGCTGGGAAAAAAAAACTTGACTGCCTCAAATACATGAAACCAGACAAGTAAAAGGGGAAATCATATTGCTTTAGTCATTATTATTATATTATTTTCTACAGTAAATGAATTCTGAGCCTTGCATTTTCCTTTATATTTATTTTTCCCTATGTAGATCTGTTAAAACACTTTCTGTTGATTATGGATTTAGCTACAGTACTTTCACTGGCTTTACAGGTTTTTTGTACCATTTCAGATAAATGTTGGTGCACTTGAATTACATTATTTGTGTTTTGGGTAGGACCATAAGACCAAATAAACATGAGAACTGCTGTCCACAAACCAGGTTCTTTGAGATCAGTTCTCAAATTTAAAGTTCTAAACCCGGAAAAATTGATCTTGCAATGGACTTTTAAGGTCACAATAAAGATAAAAAAAATTTACAGCTCCTTTAAATTTCTCTTCTGGAACTTTTAATGTGATTAAACCAAATTGAGCCAAATTTACTTATTTATTAATCTTAGAATTAAGGCATTTTATATTGTATCACATACGGCCGACAGGCACTGTGTAAGAGCCGGCTTACCAGAGCGGTGACATCACCGCCCTTCCCTGTAATAGCAGGAGATCTCTCTTTAGCTCATCGGGCTGGGTCCCTATTGAGTGACACGGGAGTCCCGGGCTCGAGCCCCCGACGGTGCGGGGCCAACCTAATGCGGCAAGGGCGCCCACCTAAACCCCTGTTGCCTTACAATATGTTATCTCAGGCTAAAATTATTTTTAATAAGTTAATATGGATAATGTAGAAAATACTTGGCTTGGTTTATGAATTTTACCACAAACCTGATAGATTGGCATGTGCAGTCATACAGATAGAATACTATAATAATACTAATACTAATCCTTGAGCTGAGGATCACCAGACAACTAATATGCTCAGTGTCCTAGATATCAATATTTTGGACTTTTCATCTGATGTCAATGCAGTAAATGACAAATACTATTTTCTTATAAAAGATATGAGCAGGTTAAGACCAGGAACATGCATTAGCAGAACTGAATTATGCATGCACCCTAGTTATTCCATAGCCATATGGTCATCCTTTTTGTTATGCCTTTAAATAAATTTGGTTCATAAACATGGTGATTGTTAACATATTTCCCCATCCTGCTGCCTGCTGCAAATGTCACTTTCCCTCAGCTTTTAGAGACACAAGTATAAAAATTAAATTGAAATAAATTCTACCTTAACAGTGTCTGAAATGAATCCTAAATAAGATTACGATTTGCAACTGCACAGCAATGTTTCTGCTTTGAGATTTATGAGGTACACATTTATAGAGGTGTTTTGGTGCTGTCCTGTACACGCCATTAAAGAGAAGGTATCTGAATTTATAAAGGTGAGATGATATGTCAAGCCTTTATAAACTCATAAAACCCAAAGGCACTATCACCTATAAAAAATGTGTTTAAAACAGTGCCGAAGCCTATAAATGTAGTACAAATGCTCCCTGGAACACTGCCTAAATAAAAAATTGCTTATTGTAACATTTTTTATAGCTTAACCTTGGTGAAATTTCTTTAACACAGTTTGATTTACACTTCCATATATTTTTATCACATGTGGTAACAGTTAATCAGCACAAAAAGTATTGTTACAAAATTAGCTCCACCATCACTTACAACTATAATTTTATCTTTAATTAAGATTTTCTGGATCAGATACTCTCTGCAAAACTACTTGTCCATTACCATCATCTGTACAAGAAACGATCATGGTTTGAATTCAATTCTCAGGAAGGCACAACGCTTTGCATGCTTTACCGTATTTTCTTTTATTTACTTAGATATGAGTAGATAATAAGATCTTCATAAGGAACAGAATTACACTTTCCTGTATGAACATGTTACAAAGGCACCTTGCCCATCATAAACCTGATTACAATGGGAGAGTAAAGTTTAGACTAAACTGCATTTTGAAAAGAAATGTCAAAGATAGAATGGCTCCATTTTAGCTTTTAGATTTTAATAGCAAATTCATCCTTCAAACACCACAGGGAAAGTACTTCACAGGCAGTTTCATTTTAAAACTATGAAAAGACTTGAGCTGTCATTTAGGTACTGACTTTTAGTAAAACAATATTTCATTATTCTTAAGTAGCAGATCAACATGACACACTAGCTTGGGGCATCTTCCCATAACAAGATATTCAGACCCTGATTTGTCCCAACACCCAGTAGATATTAAAACGGGAAAAATTAGCCAGGATTCAAATGACTATTCTCACTTCCCCAGAGGGATCAGTCTTTATTATTATGCTGTGCTAATTTCTTCACTGCAAGTCATTCAGAGAGACAGGAAGGGGAGACAGTCTTTCAATCACTGCTGATAATTAGAGTTTCCGCATATATCAAAAATGGAACGTTAATTCTGTTATCAGTGATCCAGGGCAGCGATTAGTGAAGTTAGCGCGGGGGAGGAAGAGCTCTCTGGTCTGATTACACAGATGAAATTACACACTCCAACTCCTCCAGAATACCAAAGACTATCTAGAATTAGTGGCATCACAAACAAATACGGTAAGTAACCAAAAGAGTAGAGGTCAAATCTGACTTCCATGTAGATTAATTTTAGTTTATTGTTCATTTTGTGCTCTGTAAATTGCTGAAACAAAAATAACGCTTTTTATTTAGTGATATAAATGAATTTAAAGTAATGAAATCTTAGAGAGGGACTACAAATCGAGCATACTGTTCTACAAAAGCTGGGATTTCTCATGTGCTTCATATCAAACATTGATTTCATTAATTATGTTTTCCAACAGGAAATAAATGAAAACCTTGCTTAGAATTGTTTGAGAGTTTTATATTTGATTAACATATCCTCAAGAGGAGATATTTTGCTTGTTTTTCCACACATGTATTGTTATTTATGTTTTCTTTGAAGGATGGCACTGTGGATAGCATTATTGCTTTGCAGTACTGTGGCACTGGGTTCAGTTTTGGACTTTGGACTAGGGTGCTATCTGTGTCTGTTATAAGCACATTGTTAACTAGAATAAGGATAGGAGTTTTGAAATATACATTTGCACAAAATAACTATTTTATGAGTTTTGAGCGAATGGGAATCTATTATGTAGAGTTCCATTTGGGTAAACCATTTATACAAATGGGACAATGTGAACTGCATCTTAGTTTTAAAAATAGAAATTGGATTTTAGGTTTTATAAGATGCATTAAGATGATGAAGCAGAAATATATATTTAATAGAATCTTAACTTAATACATCAGTATTTGCCAATTCACTCAAAATAATAAGTCAAAATATCCAGCAGTTGGTGGTACTGTAGCTTATGTGCAATACGAGGCTATAAAATCCAGAGCATATCAAACCGCTATACAATTGAGGCTTGTCTGTTCTCCAAAGCTTGTTTCACTGTTGATGGAGCACATAAAGAAGAGTTAAGTGCCTTTTTACACGAGCTACACTCAACGTAAAATAGAAGTAAATACTTGCATATTCTTGTCCAATAGCATATTGGCTTTAAATAGAATCAGTCTCCAGGCATGTGTATTCTAACGTAAAACCAAACTGCAGCATAACAGCTACTGAAATTGAACCCATGATGTTCTAATGCAGTCACTGCTAGATACTTGTCTAAAAGAAGCAGAGCCAAATATGGTATGTGGTCAATCCATTAATCTTCAAGTCAAAAAAAGAAACAAGCAAAGGCTTGACTTGAAAATTACAATGACTTTCTCTGCACAAACTCCCTGACAGCTTGATGCACTATGCTGACTGATGTAGCTCTTTTATAAATGTTGTCACAGGTTATTCCTTGTGCAGTCAAATGTTCCTGTGAAATTATTGTGTGAATGGATGTAAAATAGTTTTAACTATTTTTTTTAGTTGATTATAAAATTCAACAACTATTAAGGGACTTGACAAAGTGGCAAAAGATTTCAGAAGCCATTGTAAGTGAGGGAGGGTGACATGGTCAAGCAGTGGTTAGCATTGTTGTCTCACAGCACTGGTACTCTGGGTTCAATTCTGGATCTGGGGTTCTATCTGCTTATATGTTCTCCTGTTCATTCGAGCTTTCTCTGGGTGCTATGGTTTCATCCCACAGTCCAAAGACATACAGTATTAGTAGTTTTATTGGCTTCCGGGAATATTGGTCCTGGTGTGAGTGTGTGCGTGTCTTTGTGTGCCCTGTGATGGAGAAGTGTCTGATCCAGTGTGTGTCCTGCCTTAAGCCTGTTGATTGCTGGGATAGGCTCTGGCTCCCTTCATGACCCTGGATGGATGGATTGTAACTGAGGGACATATACTGTACTTAATTTTACTTATTTTCAATGCAATCTAATAATAACATGAATGATATTCTATAAACAATATGTTAATATACATTTTATGAGATTAGAAATAGTTATGAAAAATTATTACATCTAACCCTAGAGTTATGGTCAGGATTAGTGGTTTATTCCTAATTTCCAATCAATCTACAGCAAAGGTAGAGGTAGAGGAAGAGCCAACCTTTATTCACAGAGTTTTTTTATATAACACTAATAACATATTAAAAATCTATTTTATAAAAAAATAAATAAATACCATTTAGACCTACCTTAAAGTATTACTGACAGAATTAACTGGAACAGACTTCTTCAATTTGTTCAATTTGGAAAACAAATAATGCATGCACGATCTATGGCTTTTCCTGCATTTTCTACTTGCTCAAGGACAGGTTGTGCCCAATAGCCCTCTAGTAGGTAAGGATTTGAGTATTGTCACTAGATGTCACTGCCCAAGCAGTGAGTGAGATCCGGATTGAGCAGGTTTGATCAAGAAGAAACATGCAGCATTCCCAATCAGTCCTAGGTTTCCTCTAAGGCATGTGAGAGCTTGCACTGTGTAAGATAAGAAATGACACTGAGACAGAGTCATGTCATAATAGCACAAGCACAAGCCCTCATTCTCCATAAGTGGTACAGAGATTGCGACAGGAAGCCGAGTTGAATCACAAGTGGCAATTCCATATTGAGAAAGTATAGAATAGAAAAATAATTCCAGCTTTCAAAAATAGTTTCACATTTTATTCCTGAGGAATCTCTAATTTCTATAATTGCTTTATTATGTAGAACAGTTTAGCAGTAGTGTGAAGGCCTGAAAAAGTTTACAGCTACTGTACCATAAATCAGATTAATCTCTCACAACATCAATTTTAAGAAGAATAAAGGAGATGCTAAATACATTAAAACCCTCTTAATATACTGAGAGGCAATAAAAATGCAATGACATTCACTTTAAGGAAATCATGCAATAAAAAAAAAAACTGAGGTTACTTTTCTCACCAGTCTGTATTAAAATAAAAACTTAGGGATCATTTTAGTGCGTGGAAAAAAAATGTGCCTTATAATAATAATGCATTTATGTGCTCTACCGTTCATGGTACTCTAACCAATGATTATAGAGAATTTCCAGGCTTAGGGGATAGTGTGTGCTGGATGTTATAGCACTTGGTTGAACATCATCTCAATGTCTACCATAAACTATTTCTCAGCTTTAGAGTGTGTTATGACAATGACTAGTATTATAACCGATTGTCCTCTTCCTAATACTGAAATGTGGCTTCACACTAAAATAGGGAAACAAACATTTGACTTTAACACTTTTGCAGATGTTTTCAGGTTGGCTAGAACTATGGCTAATTTTGTCAGCAGCACTTCAGACAGGTCAGTTATTGATAGAAAAATCTGAAAACATAGTTTGTGCTTCTGTATGCCTTGTCCTGGCAAAATGCATTAGTATTAAATATTGACTAGCCTATCAGCATTGCACAGGAAATTGAAGCTGGTCATAAATGATGGGAATCATTTTCTTTGATTAATCAAGGTTTAATCCAAGCTTTGGTGATGGCAGGCTCCATGGACAATCAAAATCAGGGAGAATTGCATTGTTGAATAACATTAGTTCAGTTGTGTTGAATTCAAGCATGAATCCAAATTTATTGTAATACAGGTTAATCTGAATTAATCTGAGGCTAACTGGTACATGTCAAAATGTTGAGAGCCTCTTGCAACCAGTGCTTTATTCAAAGTACTGTACAGTATGTGTTATCTGGGCAACTCAGTTTCCAACATTACAATACCTCCTAATTACATTTCCTTGTGCACATGCTTTTTGCATCATTGGATTGCACTTTACAATTGCCCAGGATGATGAATATGAACGCCTGTTTAAGTTGGACCATTGGATTTGACAGTATCATTCTCAAACAGAAAGACTGCATATGTGAGATGACAAGGCTGATCAATTTCCTGCCAGGCTTCAGACATTTTTCAGGGCACAAGGTGGTTACACCCAGACATTGCTGCATATTTTCATTGAGCTGTTATATCACAGTTAATCTATAAATGTATGAACCACGTATAGCTGTTTTCTCTGCTCATTGCATAGCATTAATAAACTGAACATTAATAAAATGATCTAAGCAAGGTATTGGCCGCATGAACACTTCATGGTGCCATAATATTATTTTACTCAAGGCATTATATTTTTATTGCCTCTCATACCAGTTCAAGGGACTGAGCTAAACTGCTGACATTAAGGAGAGAAACTGAACAAGGTCAAGCTGTTACCATAGACAATAGTATACACATAGTACTCTTCAACATCCATATTGTTTTAGTCATATGAAGTACCAAAGACATTGAAGAGTTATTTAAAATAATTTCCATTTAATTTTTATCATGTTTTTAAGTACAACAACAAAATATTTAATTTAAACAAAACACATTAAGTAAGCCTTCCAACTGTACCAAAACATAGATTCTGAGACATTTAATTTAATTTACAGTTAGTAAAAAAGATCATATACTCTCATTTTAGTCAAAATACAGTATTCAGTTAGAACTGATATTACAGTAAGTGGGGTGGATATTACTTTTAGTATTTGGGGTTTGAGTCCATGCATTCCAACTAGATCCTGACCAGGATTTTTCAGATTAGTGACTGATATTAACAAGAGTGATAATATATGCCAGGTTGTATATTCAGTTGAGTCAACAATTAGATGGATTAATGTACTTGATATCTAGAAATGAAGACCAGAAGACCTCATTGCCTTCAAGGAACTAAATCCGAGAACCTTGATGACAGAAAAAATAGATTGAGAAAAAATGAATTGTTTGGAAATCAATGAGCGTTTGGATTCTCATTAACCATTTCCCTGGTTCAGATCTACTAAAATGTTGCATGTGGTGCAGAACTGTATCATTTGGCAATAATGAGAGAAAGAATATCTCTGTTGATACATCTCTCACCCTTTAGCAGTGATGAATTCTATACATCCAGAGCACTGCGAAGTAGTGAGTCACTGGGGATCAAATATTGATCGTACTGCATCAGCTACAGCCCGTCCAATTAATTACATTCCAGTTAGGTAATGCCAGTAGTATAGAAGGAAAACAGTTTTAGTTATTTCTGTATGCTAGCTAGTGAGAGGTTTAAAATACACAGTCCAAGAACGTTTATAGGCTTCTACTTACAACTTTGAGTTAGGAACACAAAACAAGAAGCTTTATTAATCACAGCTAAGTATACACAAAAGCATTTACAAAAGTGACCTACTGTAACTGAACCACCAGATACTCTGAAGTGTGGCTGTGCTAAGTTGCAATACCATAGTCACCCTGTGCACTATAGGACATTGCATGAGAACTGGTTACGATTGCACTGGACTGAGAAGGTAGTGAATCAGAGTTGGAACAAAATTATGAAGGTTCAGATGTATTAAACATTTATTATTGCATGTGGGTCAAAAAGTCTGGAAGTATCTACTAAATACAGAAGAGACTCTTCAACATATCTAAAAGACAATGATAGATACATAGTTAACTGTTTAAATCATCTCCTTCAGATGACACTTCATATACTAAAAATGAAATAATGGAACTGATTTGTGTGTAATCTCAATTTATTCCTAACTAGGTGAAGTCGATGTCTCTCCATAGTTGTGCCATTTAGGTTGACATAGGTTGTAGACATTTACTGTACATGTAAAATAAAGATTGATAACTAATTTGAGGTGAAATTTTAAAAGCAGCAAACTGTGGGCACAATGTTAAGCAATTTGTTAAATAAAAAATCGGGCACAAAAATTCAGATAAAATTAAATACTGTGCTGAAATGATTTCCTACACAAGAGCTATACCCCAGTGTGTTATCAAAATGAAGAATGAATTAAAAACAATCAATGTTATCTGTGCAGGAATAAAAACTTTCAGTGCATCTGTCTGAATGTCTGTCATTTTAATTCTTCCTGTCACTTTTCTGGGGTATGATCATCTGTTGCTTAAGCATGTTTCCCAACATCGTCAGCATAAATTGATTTCAAATATGCTATCTAAAATTGGGCATAAGGCACCACAGCCTCTCTGCTTCTCGGCTCAGCTGTTCTCTGCTGTCAGGCATGGAGAGAGTTACATTGATGTGTCTTGGGAATTGTAGGGATTGCAGACAGTCTCCCAGCCCTTTAATGTCACTGGGGAAAGAACAGGCAGCTCTTCCTCAGGTATTCTGTACCTTCTTTCTGTAGGTCATGTTCAGAATGCACTGTTCTAGATAGTCATGATTAGGTTACTGAGGGACGGTGGATAAGTCTTGGCAGCAGTAGTTGGAGTTTTGGTTGCAGCAACATTATTTCAAATGGTGACAAAAGATGTACTGTAGCAGCATCATTTAAAATAGCAATGGTAATAGTACTAGCAGCAGCGGTGGTGTAAATAACAGTGCAAGTAGAAGTCTTTGTACAGCAGTAGCAGTAATGGTGGTAGATGTGTAAGCAGTATCTGTGGTATCAATTTAGCAATAGAAGTAGTTGCAGTGTGAGCTGCAGTAGGTGTTTTAATGATAATACCATTACTAGCAGCATTGACAGTAACAGTAATAATAGTACTTTTAGCAGAAATGGGATGTTAATAATAACCAAAAAAGTACCACAAACTGTGTACTATTATCTATAGTATTAGTAGCAGCCTCTGTAGCAGCAGAAGCAGCAGTTTGTCATTCCTTCTAATCATCCATTTGTTATTTAAGTGTGTTTCCTCGTCAGGAATGAAATTGATATTTCCCTTAACCTTGGCGTCTTCTTTGACAGCCTCCTACATAAATTCTGCATTGTAAATCATTTGGTATAGCAACTCCGAGAGCAATATCATTGCATGAGGATTGATGTGCAAGTGACACTAAACTGCACAGAGCTCAGTCTCATAAGCCCCAGAAACAAACATGGTTATCTGGAGTAATTAGCGTGAGCTCAACAAGCTTCGCTCGTGAGTGCTGACAACTTTTTGACTGCATTAAATAGCTGTCAGACTGCAAGGTCAAGGTTCAGTCCTTCATATTTCAAATTTCTGTACTTCTATCAAACTCTGAATTTGACACATTTACAATGTTTCAAAAGGCCTAAGTGATGGTTCCACACAATTGCCAACAGCAGAGACAGTGCATTTGTTGGTAATGTGTCATGTGTTAGAATAGATGAGTCATGCTTATTTCAAGAACACTAAACACGGGCAAAGCCCTGCTTTCCTGTATCCACATATCTTTCAAACCAGATCAGAATCGGCCAATCGGAAAACTGGCGTTTCTTCTTCATTTGAATTCATGTCAACATCTTAATTGTGTGTGTATTGTTCTATGGTGTCTGTAATTGAAACTCTGAAAAATGGAACTTCTCTGATATCCCTGTGGTAGTTTGAGAAGTGTTGTTTTCTCGGCATCTCGTTGTAAATCAGGGAAGGTGTGTATTCGATGGCTTTCTTTGAGCACAGGCTGACCTAATCTCTAAGACCCTTGTGTTGTGTTACTGATTTAATCAGTAAATCAGTCAAAATGAGTAAGTTTTCCATCTCTCTATCCAACTATGAAATTGTCCTGAAATACTTCTATAGTGCAGCACCAAGTCATGGAAGAAAAACTGATTATAAAATGCAATTTAAAGAGGCCAATGTTTTTAATTTTGACAATGTGACAGCAATATTCTTTTATGTCACGCATTGGGTAAAGAACAGAATGTATGCATTTAACTTTATGGGTCAACACATAAAATGGACATACACATTTTAAAATGACGACTTATCTGTGGATTAATAAGAATGTCCAAGAGTTTTAATTAGATATATAAATCACTGTAAATTATTTATTATAGCACCTTCGAGAGTTATATCATTTCATGAGGATTGATGTGCTTCATGTATTACTGTACGTCATACTCAAGAATATATTATTAGTAGAAAATTATTTGGAAATGTTATCACTTCATTTTATACCGAATACACATTGTGAGAGCTCAGACAAGAACCATTACCAGAAGGCAATGGGGAATGACCAGCCATCCTGAATCACCTGACTAATTGGTGGAGTACAATTGGTTGGGTGACATTTAAAACTTGGAAGTTGAGGTTTCCAGGGGGCCATTGAGCTATGTTGTACAATTGCACCAGAGTGGTAAGGAAGCAGAGAACAAGTAACTGATCGATGAGACCATGGACATAGAAAACACAAGATTTTGGTCTCAGAGAGAGACTTATGTTTTGGAGCTGGCATGCAGCTTAGCTGCCTGAATCTGATGATCAATAGGGAAAAAAAAAAGAAGTCTACTTAGAACTCAAAAGACGGGCTAGGCTTTTATTTTGTTGCTTGCTGAATATAGATACTAAATTCTTTTTAACAACCACGTTGAAGTGCAGCATTATCATGAGCAAAGGTCTCTAAAGCACACTACCAGAGACAGATCTATTACACCATATTTATTCACGTCTTGTCTTATATATATTAAATGTGCATAATTAATAAAAGACAGCATGAAATAAAATGGTGTTATTTTCAGATATATTATTTGCATAATTGCTACATTTTGCCATGAATGGTGCAATAATCCTACATTTCTGATTCTTTGCACATTTTCTTACACAGGCAGATTAAATAGAATTAATCTCTTTAGATTTGATCAGAAGAAATTATTAAGGGATTTCATTCATCTGGAATTCCTGACTGGCATTGACAAAGACACCCCAATGGGCTGTTTCAAAATTTGAAATGAAAACAGGACCAGGAAACACAAATGAAGATTAGATTGAATTGGATTTAAAACTATTAGAAGGCAACACTTCTCTACACTGGTGGGTGTCTGCAACACACTGTCTTGGCATGTCGCTGAAGCCAACTTCCTGGGTTTATTCAAAAAACCAAACACTGTTATGACTCTTATGTTTAGCTGAATTGATTTCTTTTATTTGTAGCTCATATTTTCAGATTTGCTAATTGGATTTATAGCTTTGTATTTCAAACTAACAAAATCCAGCTTCAGTCTAAGACAGGCCACCATAAATCATCATGAAGAGACTGTAATCTATGACCTACTGTACCCACTTAACTTAGGCATCAGTTACCAGCTCATAATTAGAATTATTATATTATTAATTTACACAGATTTGAAATTTATGTACTGTATAAGCAGTTGCCATGATATTAAACAGAAAAACTCTTCAGTGCCTTGATATTTTTAATTTGTGTGTAGACATTATCTATAGTATGACAGAGAAAGCCTGTTGAATTACGACTGTATATATGGTAATACAATATATAGGACTAGGATTTGTTATGCCTGTGGGGTGTTCTTTAGTTTGTGTTTGAAGAGAGGAGTTAGATTTAAAAAATATACAGTTATAGGTAAAAGTTATAAAGTTATATAGTTATAAAGGTAAGAGTTAAAGAGAGAAATAAAGAGTGAGAGTGAAAGGAGATCTGTGCTATAAAATCTCTATTTGTATTTCTTATTTTTAGATTAAATTTGTTTTGCCTGAGCCCAACATCTTAAGGGATTTGTGGCAATGAGAAGACATTGGTGTCAATCAACATGCAAAGGTAAGGCGATTATCCCTTTGATTTTATGGTGTTCATAACGGAATGTTTGCCTCCTTGTCCATCTGTAGTAATAATAATAATTGCTTACACAGCGTTTTTCTGGACACTCCACTCAAAGCACTTTACAGGTAATGGGAACTCTACCACCAATGTGCAGTATCCACTTGGATGATGCGACAGCAGCCAGAACACTTATCACAAATCAGCTATAAGTGGGGAGGAGAGCAGAGTGATGAAGCCAATTCACAGATGGGGATTATTAGGAGATTGGTAAAAGCCAATGGGAAATTTGTCAGGATGACGGGGTTACACCCTGACACTTTTCGAGAAACACCTTGGAATTTTTGAATGACCAGAGAGTCAGGACCTCAGATTTACATCTCATCCGAAGGACAGCACCTTTTTACAGTGTCCCTGTCACTATACTGGCACATGAGGACCCACACAGAATGCAGGGCAAGCACATTCTGCTGGCCTCTTTAACACCTCTTCCAGCAGCAACCTTAGGTTTTTCCAATAGGTCTCCCATCTCACACCTGCTTAGCTTCAGTGGGTTGCCAGTTTGAGTTGCAGAGTGACATGGCTGCTGGCTAGTAAGAGGGAGAGTGGAGTTGACCCTGCTATCTGTAACAAGAGTGAATGCATACCAACATTCCACAAACATCATGAATTCTAGATCTACATCCATCCTTTTTCTAACTGCTTCTTCCAGTTCAGAGTTGTGGGGGAGCTGGATCCTACCGGGGCAAGCAAAAGGCCCAGGGGAGGGTATACCCTGGATGGGATGCCACTCCATTGCAGGGCAGACAGACACAAATGCAGACAACAAACCTACTGGCATGTTTTTGGACTGTGGGAGGAAAGCAGAGCACCCAGAGGTAACCTATGCAAACACGGTTAGAACACACAATCTCCATGCAAATCTTCATAGTACTGGGCCCCATTGAGCTCAGGGCCCAGTACTATGAAGCAGCAATGCTAACCACTGCACCACCATGCTGCCCTAGTTCTACTTACTTTACATAAATACAAATATGTACAAATGTTTAAAACATACGATTTTATTTTTTTCAATATACAGTAGAGTAGAAGGATGCAGATAATGTTCCATGAGATCACCAGGGTAACCCATCTCTGCTTTTACAATCTGCCATTTTGTGTGAGACATTGCCAAGTGCTGACTGTTTCACGTTTAATATTTTACACAGTATTGTGGACTTAAAAAATGTATTGTCTTTCTGCTTCATTGGTAGTATTTGTATAATGCTCTAGACGCTTGTAAATCCTCAAATGGATCCTGCTGTTTTGCAAAGGAGATGTCATATTTCCCTGTTCTATTGTGTCTTGTCTGATTTGTACCTTGTTTCTTACACAGTGACATAGATGGGGAGTAAATCTTGCTCTGGGAAAGAAATTAGGAGTTCCATATCATAAGATTTTAAACCATTGTGTACAGTTTCAGTTTAAAGCTGCATGTCACCGAGCTGTGACCACAAGAAAAGTATTGCCTTTGTAGAGCCCTCACTCTCCCACCTTTTAATGAAGCACAGCCCCTCATCTCCACAACGCAAATAAAGAAAGCCTTTATTTATTGTTCGCTGTCAGCTAGGCTGATTTAAGCAGCCTGTTTCTGCGAAAGGACACGGATGAACTCCGTGAAAATGGACCGACATCCATATATTACATCAATGGCACAGACCCTTGGGCAGAAACATTAGTTAAATATACGAGACAGAAAGCCTTGACCAGGAGTAGTGATGAGCAGTCCGTCGTGGAAGGACAGAAATGCGGAGGGACTGGCTGTAGGGCAGGGGGAAATGCTGAAATTAATGTTTCATGGAGAGCAAGTCAGAAGCCCTTTGCAAACATCATAGAGATGCACTGCCACAACTCCCTTTCTCTCAAGGGAAGTGCCTTGTCCCTTCAGGAAAGCCTGAGTAGGACTTGGTTCCTGTTAGCAAGGACACGGCTTTCTGAAGGAAATACAGAGCCCCCAGCATAACATAAACACTACTTTCCCAACAGAGCAACCCAAACATTGAAAGTGACAGTTTTAATGCAGAACTTGATATAGAAACTTTTTTAGTACTAAACTCTTCATGCCTTATTTTTCATTTTTAGAAATGTGACTTGCCAACTGCATCCCCTCATTTATAATATTAAATGCATTAACAAATACACAAACATTAGGACCAATTTCATTCAGCTATCTTTCTATTAATGGAATGAATATTAATTAGCTCTTTCTCCATTCACAATGCTATAGGAGAAGAAACTGCTTCATGACTTTTCATTACAAGTTTTTCTGTACATTTTTAACTGCTGCTACTACTGTAACTCCCACCCTTGCCTGGAAGGTTTTTCATTCTAATTACATACAATATATACTGTAATATAGAGGCATAGGGTGGGGCAGTGGCTCTGTTGCTCAGGACCTGCGCCTGGAAGGTTGCTGGTTCAAATCCCATGGCCGGCAGAGGAATCCTACTCTGTTGGGCCCCTCAACAAGGCCCTTACCTCCAACTGCTCCAGGGGCACTGTACAATGGCTGACGCTGTGCTCTGACCCCAAACTTCTCTCCCTGTCTGTGTGACTCATGGAGAGCAAGCTGGGGTATGCAAAAAGACAAATTCCTAATGCAAGAAATTGTATATGGCTAATAAAGTGATCTCTCTTAATCATCTATGGCACTAGTCAAAGTTATCTACTACTAAGTATATCATGCTGATGAACATTAATAAGGGTTCAATGTGTGCTCACCTTGACTTTATACTATATGTTACAGGACTGTTTCCTGCAGTGTTATAGCAGGACAATTAAATAATTAATATTAATGTTCATAATGTATTGTTCATAATTGCTGCTCTTAGCTGTGACACTAATCTAGAATAGGGTTCTTTCTAATACTTATCTAGGTAGCTCATTTGGCACATTGAGAACAGTGTTTATTTGTATTTAAAAACTATGTAATTGAGCATTAAAATGTATTAGAGTTAATAATAAAATATTGTAAAATACAGTAATAGAAAAATAAGTAAAATTTTTATGAAGGTCAGCGTGCTTAGTATGTGTAAGCGCTTCTACTAAGTACTAAATGTTTTTGTGTATATTGTAAAAAAAATAAAAACAGCCATTTGTACCTCCTGTAATTTATCATGATTAAAAGGATTACACACTATCAATAGCCTCAATACCTCAAATATACTTACTGATAGCAAACTAAGGTGATTTTACTGCAGACATATACTGTATGCACATTCATTTCTATCACGTGACAATGAGACCTACCACCCTGAACTACCCAGTAATGTGTAATGTTTTGAACTATTTTGTTTTAATTTCCATTCATTATCTAATAACTGCAGGAAGGCTGGAATTACCTAATACAATTTTAATGACAAAGCTGAATTTTAAATTTTAAATGGAGACTCGGATAATTGTTAAATTAAACAATGCTTAAATCACAAGCATTTTCCTTCTGTGTCATTTCACACTCTTTTTTTTCTCTTCAACATACCCTGTGAGATTCTACAGCATGGTTTCTTGATAGAATATTTGCCATGCCAAATGAATATATTTCCAAAGGGGATACTGAAGGGTTGTGCAGTTTAGATAGCATGCCATTTTACTGGTTTCATACTACCGGATGAGACTGTTACGGTGACATGATTGCTCAGGAATCTGAAGTGCATTTAAATTCCTCCTTGCCAAGGACCAGTCACAGTGGGATTTTGCTTATTCCTGATTCTTGTAGTAGCTGTAGAGCTACAGTACATCTATGAAGGGGATTTGAATCCATGGTGTTATTGCACACAATATACCACTATCGATCTAAAAAGAAACACTAGACAAGCAGGAGATAGCTCCCTTATATGATCCATCAAGGAATGTGCAATTTTATAATGTTATGCAGATTTATTTTTTTACAGGGTAAAAAAAGTCACCAGCACACTTCATAAACCAGTTATAAAATGGTGATGCTCCTATCTCATTTCCATTACTGAGTTGATCAGAGACAGAAAAAAAACTCTAATACTCCTCAAGAAACTGATAAAAAACAGGGACACAGAGGACAAAATAAAGCTAGCCCTTTAAAATGATCTGTTCACCCATGAATAATAATGCTCTAACAAAATAATAGTATTTCCTCTGGTAAATAACGCCTATGCAACCTTGCTTTAATTGTATAAGCAAAATGCAATTCTAGTGGCAAACACTCAACAATATGTTTAGACAGAGATGATTAGATTTTTGCTTAAATGCTATTTCATTCTGGCCACAGCTATTACAGTACTTTTAAAGAAAATTAAATTAAATAAAGTGGGTCATCATTGCAATTCAACACACAGGAGACAATACATACATTCTTCCTGAGTTCTCAAAGTGCTGCCAATTTTTGCACGCTTTTTTCTTCTTGTTCATGGCACAATGACAATAGTGTCATTGTGGTCTTTCACATGCCCTTCACAAGAACATACCTAGATTATTTGATTTATACAATATTGACATAAATTAGTCCCCTGGTGAGAAATGCCACATTTAAAATCCCACAGTTGCCAATTGGTAAAAAAAAAGGGTAATCTACATTAGTGTAATTTTTGACAAGTTTTTTTTTAATGTGTGCCTGATGTCGGTGTGCCTCACTAATTACATTTCATTTGTAGTTAATGCTGCAGTCTACAGTGGCAACACTAGTGGCACTTTGGCAGCACAGCAACATATAAGGCTCTGCATCCTGGTTTATTTTTCCATCCATGCATTTTCTGAACTTCTTTATTGACTACTGGGGTGCATGGTGGCACAGTGGTAAGCATCACTGTCTTGTAGCCCTGGAGCTCTTGGTTCAACTCCCTGGGTGTTAATCTTCATATTCGTTCTCCCCTTGTTTGGGCAAGTTTCTCCAGGGACTCCAGTTTCCTCCCACAGTTCAAAGACGGAAGGTTGTCTGTGTTTGTGTCTGTCTACCCTGCAATGGACTGGCGTTCCATCCAGAGTGTACCCTGCCTTGTTGGGTCCATTGCTTGGTGGGATAGGCATCAGCTCCTAAACAACCCTGAATTAGAACACACTGTTTTTGCATGGGTTGTCTCTGGATGCTCTGGTTTGCTCTCACAGTCCAAAGACATACAGGAAGGTTAATTGGCTTCTGTGAAATTGGACCTGGTGTGAGTGTGAGCATGTTTGTGTCTGTGTGTGCCCTGTGATGGACTGGCACCCTGTCCAGGATGTAGTGTATCTCACCCAGTGCTTCCCAGGATAGGCCACCATGGCCTTGAATTGGATACATTTTTTATTGAAAGTTACATGTACAGGTATGTGATGATGATTTACAGTGTAATACATTTAATCGACTAAATAACAAAAATGGAATTAAATTATAATTTAATTAATTACAGAGAATAATACGTTGCATAAAAGTTGAATATGCTGTTTTTCATCAGTATCTGTTCTACATTGTTGACAACAAAGGAATAAACAATTAAGTTAAGGGGCTTGTGCTATACAGTATCTGCAGTAGGTAGAAAAGGAAAGGAATATGCTTTGGTATTGTAGATTATCAAAGGCATAAAAAATTACATGAATGGAACACATACAAATCAGAAACAGTGTAGCTTCAGTTAAACGTGTCATATTAAATATGACTTGCTAGTTACTGTAAAACAAACACCCCGAAAAAAATCCAATAGTTTGATATTTCCACATTAATTGCTGTCCCTGCAGAAATGTATGTTCTCTGCATATCCATCTTCAACAGGACCTTGTAATGCTTAAGGTAAAGCTACTCAATAGGGA